AATTTTATAAAACTTTAAAATTCAGTAAATTACAACCAAATATCTCTAATCTTGTTCGTCTTACAAAGTCACACATCGAAAATGTTAAACAAACTTTACAAGGACTACTTGTTCTTCATACCGATGCGTCGCTTATTTTATCTGAATTATCAATAATATGCCACATGAAATTTCTTCAGTTTTGTAAAGATGTTACTCAGAAAACAAAGACGAATATACAAAATAAGTTGAAGAGTTCAACTGATGATCGAAACCACGTAGATGTCTCTCCGGTAAATCTTGATAAGTAGGTTACAAATCTTTCTCATATTACTCTATCTACCCATCAAAAAGAAGCTTTATCCCTTGGACTCAAATTTTGTGTTCCTCGCACACAATTTATGGATTTAGCCATCCATGCTGAGTTTGAAAACTTATATGACCAACTCAAACCTCTTGCCGCAACATCCGATGAAGATTGGGGTTGGTTTAAGGCCAAGATGGTGGATATAGCTCACCAGTTTTTAAACAACAACCCAAAGGAGAAAAGTATTTTAAATTCCCAGCATTTCAAAGCCTTGAAAGAGCTACGGGAAAATTCTAATATATTTATTACTAAACCTGATAAAGGTTCTGGAGTCGTCATTATGAATAAAAGTGACTAAAAATCTAAAATGATGTCTATTCTTGATGATAAAAGCAAATTTAGCCGTGATCCCTCCTCAGAAGATATTCAGTTGTTGCAGGGCACAGCGACAGCTAATCTACTGAAGCTTCATGGCCTAAGTGCTATAAGTAAAGATAAATTTAACTCATTAAAACCATCAGCTTATAAATTCCCACATATGTGTGGGTTGCCAAAAATACATAAACCCAATAATCCTCTACGTTCTATATTGTCAATGGGCAAATCCCCAACGCATAAACTTTCTAAATGGTTAGTATAATTATTGAATCCTGTCAAAACACAATTCTGTAAGTATGTGTTAAAAGGTAGATTTGAATTGGTTGATGATCTTGACGATAGTAATATTAATATTCTGAACAATAATATGTACTCTTTTGATGTAAACTCGTTATTTACTAATGCACCTTTGATCAAAACAGTTGACATTTTGTGTGATTATATTTGCACAAACAATTTTTTCATCCCGTTCCCCATATCTTATTTAAGGCATTTATTACTTCTATGTACTAACAATGTTAGGTTTACATTTGAAGGCGATTGTTTCCGCCAAGTTGGTAGTGTTGCTATGGCCAGTCCGTTAGGACCCCTTTTAGCAGATATTTATATGTCACACATTGAGAATTTATCGGAGGATTTAATCGAGAATGTGCCACTTTATAGAAGGTGGTATGCAGATGATATTGTAGTCATCAGTGATCATAAGCCTTGTTCTGCCACCTCAATTTTAAATCGAATGAATGAAGTTCAGAATAGAAAGCATATCACTTACATCTGTCTGTAGAAGAGGAAGATAATTGTTTATCTTTCTTAGACATATTGCTTAGTCGACGGCTTGATGAGTCAATAAAAATATCTATTTATAGAATAAATTTTTTCATGAAATATCAGGATGACTGAAGCAATCAATCCATTTCATAAATAATCATTATTTCTCAACCAAATTGTTGCACAAGGGGTAGCTCTTGTGATCCAGTTAGTCTGTTGGGTAACATTATGGCTTTTAAAATGTCGAGTGATGGATTCATGTCTTAATGGGGAGACTATCATCCATCGGAGACTGCGGTTATATCCAGTGACGAGTCCCAAACGGGACGAAATATGCATGCTGGATTTCACTGCTAGACACTATCAACCAATTGAAGTTGAAAGAGCTTTAATCCTGGTTAATTTTCCAAAGGAGTAGGTGACTTTATGAAAATGCATGTTCATTATATGACCTCGGTTTAGTATTTTTTTGTGTAGTTTGAAGCTGATTGACACCACATTTCAAATCAGCTCAAAATAAGCGAAAAAAAAACTAGATATGATCACCTTGATATGATTATGAGCAGTAATAAATTGTGCTCGAAACGTCATCAGTAAACATTACTGTATAACACTGTGAGACTTTATCAAAACAAAAATTTACCCACAATGGAATTATACGCTACCACAGTGCACACGTTTTATTATTATATCGAAAAAAACTAGTTTTGCTGTATAAGAACACATTCACTCCTTTTTTGATAAGATCGAGTTGCAAACGTTTTGAGTTCTTATGTAAATCTGGCTCAAAGCCTCCTGTTTTTTTATTATATTTATTGTGAAGAACCTAGAAGACCTGTTTTTTGCGCGTGGATGATTTATGCTTGATGTCACACAAAATCGAAGACTTACAAGCAAAAACCGACCGACAAACTGGTCGAAGAAGCAGCCAGCGAAGACTAGACTCCAGGTGAACATAGACAAGACGGAGGTTATGAAAATAACCAGCCAACAACAACAACAACGACAACGGCAGCAACATCCACCGCCAATCACCATCAACGGGAGGGATTTCAAAGAGGTCACTTCATTTACTCACTGATCTAGGGAGCATTGTCTCAACTACAGGAAGTCGGAACAAACGAGGATGTCAAATCGAGCGAGAATCGGGTGGGGGGCGAGAAACACATTCACTCATCAACCTGAAATCAATCTGGAAATCGTAGTCACTCAACTCAGAATCAACAACAAAATTCGGTCGGATTTTCAATACAGACAGCGTCAAGTCAGTCAGTTTTTCTATACGGATCAGAAACTTGGCGCTTGGCAAGCCACAAAGAATATTTCCAACAGCCTGTTGCAGACTTTTATCAACCAACAACTGTCAACTATCGCTCTATACTGAAGTTGAATCAGATGGCCGTACCGGAAAGAACCACCAAGAAGAAACCATGGCTGGGAACATACAAAACAAGAAGCGATCGCCAACCAACAAATATTATGCGAGAGAAAGTAGAGCTGGATTGGACACTCGCGGCTGAGGAGGCCACTGGGTGACATCGCGCGCGCGTCAGGCCATCGCTCGAGTGGAACGAGGCCGAAAGGGAAGCGGCGAGTGGGACGTCAGTGCAAGGGTGACACGGAGGAGATCGTGTGAAGAGGAAACAGTATGAAACAGTATGGACTAACATGGATGCAGGTGAAAAGTAGAGCAGAAGATAGAAGTGGCAGGTGGAGACGTGGAGTTGAAGCCCTATGTTCCACACTAGTTAACTGTGCTTTACTGTATTGTATGTTGTTCTATTGTACTGTTGTTGTCGCTTTTCGCCCTTTTTGCTGGGAATTATTTTCCTTTGCTGGTGTTGTTCTGATTGTTTATGCCTTGTATTCCTTATTTTCCAATTTTAAGGGGAGCAACCCACAAGGTCGCTTCTCTCTAAACTTTATCTAAATGTAACAATTCATTTCTCAGGCGTGAGGCTACGAACCCCACCCTGTAAACAAAGTTGCTACAGAAACTTCAACACGATGAACCACTTTGCCCAAAAAGAAAAGAAAAAATACATTTAGCATGATTCATGTCAAAATTGGAATATTGGTGTAAAACTGTGTTATGCGCGAATGGTTCAATGGTCCACGTACTTGCTCTGGGTTCGGCCCCCACCTGACGTAATCTTAAACCTCACTTAGCTGAAAATAATATCAGGTGAATAGGGGAGGCTGGTTTTGAAACTAGCAACTCCCTTCTGCTGAAATTCTTCATTGTTACTGGAGCTTCAGAGCTCAAGCTTGAGGCCAAAGATTCCACCACGGCACCCAAAGAAATATAAAAAAAGGAAACATTTGTGTAACTTTAAGCAACCTGCACGACTAGGAACACTATTAAATAAGCCTACTTGTCATTATGTCTCAGGTATTCTACGAAAAAACACTATATAGCTTACTTTGCAACTATTAAATCTAGGATGTGGGAGTATATTTGTAAAGCCTCAAAGTGTCTGACAGCTGTTACCTTTAAAGGGCTAATTTCTGTAATACTGCACCACGTGAGTACTGCAGAAGTTAAACGAAAGGCCATAGCTCATAAGTTATTTTTCGTATGCATATTTCGAGCGAAATTCCAACAGTTGATGTGATCACGGATAGTAATTTTGCTCGTAACATTACCAAAAAAAAAAAAAACAAGAACTTATCATGGTATGTAAACTACTGAAATATATAATTATAATTTATTTGATCTGTTTCACAATGCTCAAACATTTTACTGACGTATGTATCATCAACTTTCAGAAGTCAGAATTCATAAGATTCCCTCCTAGTGGCCGAATAGTGCAGGAGATCGCCTTGTTACCTAAATGTCCAAGAATTAATCCCTGGTGTGGTAACAGGTGCGCACTACCGAAGAGTTCCAGGCTGGAACCCAACAGCTGTGCAGTTTCATTTGTGATCAGTCTTGAAATTTGAATTTGAATATTTTAGCTTATATGACTTCATTTCTCTTTTATTCCTACATATTTTACAGTATTTATTTCATCCTTCATACAACAATGTTAAGCGTCGTTTATTAAGCGGCTAGTTCCTGTATTATTATATTATTTGTCATTCATATGGAAGGCAAATCACCGTCCATTCACTTCTGTTGAGAAAATGAGTACATTAAATGCAGCCTTCACTCGTTAGAGTGCTCCTCACAGAGGCGAAAGAGTGATTGCCAACGTCTGGAGCTTACAACAGAACTGACGGATGTACAGATTTATCTAGAAGATCTGAGAAACCTGATTCCAAACATATGATGGTCGAATATCACGTTTTCGTTACCGCTAACCATGGGAACATAACTCCTGATTTCAGGTCAAAGCCATGCGTTGGGAGTTGGACCTTAAGACAACCACGAACTTCCGCCTGGCTATCCTGACAGTAACCCAACTCTTGCACAAACTATGAGAATTGGTTCGGCGCATTTCTTGGTACTCGTGATGATGTACCAAGTTTTTGTTCCTACAATAATAATAATAACAATAATAAACATGGCGATGAAATGGATACAAAAGACTTTCCAAAAACAGAGCATAAACCAGTGTCAGCTTACTTTATCACTACATGATGTTTCATTTTCAGTCACCTTACTGGGACTATTCACCTTCTTCTGTGGTTGTTGTTGTTGTTGCTGCTGCTGCTGCAGTTGTCCATGAAAAGGATTTTGTAGCTGCTTTTGATGAAAATGGTAAACAGGGTTGGAAGAAAGTGGTGGTGGATAGGATAGAGTACTAGCCAACTGTAGATCAGTATGTAAATTTTTTAAATCTGTCCTTACAAAACACTTGTTTGTCATTGTTTGATGTAAACCAGGAGTAGTTTGTGAGGCTGTAAATTCCCCTGTTGTACAATTATTGTTTATGTTACTCATTGAGGATGAACAATTTAGCGAATTTGACTGACGTAATAAATTTGGAGATGTAAGACAACTAGATAATCTGACTGTTGATTGGTCCACGGGAGGACAACAGTGTTGTAATGGGGTTGTTGTTGTTGTTGTTGACGATAAAGGCGTTGCCTCTAACTGAACTGGTTGATGTTGTTGATAGTAGTAAGGATGATGAGAAGGATTCCCTGGAGAAGGTGGAGATAGTGTTTGATTTAAATTCAGGATATTTGTTAGTTGAGTTAACTTTGTCGATTCACTGGAGGACTTTTTAAGCGCAGAGAAACAGCTTTTATTTATAAAACTACTCAGAGATTTTCCACTAGTTGATGGAGCATTATTCAGTGTGGATAAATTGGACTTCATTATAACTGGACGTGATATGGTAATGTGAACTGGATGCTGAGACATTCTGAAACACAATGAAAGCATATTAGGGAGAAATTATTAATCAAAAGAAGGGATTCCACTCGTTAAAAATTTGATTACGGATTCATACCTGTTAGATGACCATTGGAAACCATCTGAGAGTACTGAACAGCTGCTTAATCCGAGTTTGGGGCTACTCAGCAATACGCATCCACCGGCGTTCGAGCTCACGACCTTCAGGGTAACAAGTCAAGCTTATACGATATTCAACAGCTGCAAGGAATCCCCTTGACTGGAGAATTCCAACTTCTACCGATTCGTGATTTTATTTGGACCAGTGGTTCTCACACCCAACCTGGTGGACACCATTGGTCACGACTTCGTACTAGAACTGTAGCCATTCAATAGTAACCACTAACTTAATTTTTGACTGTTAGTCTGTACGGATTTGATTTCTTTGAGGTCCAATCAAAGAGTGAAAACCAGTTTTAGGACTCCTTAGCAGTACGCTGATGGTCACGCTGAAATCACGAAACGGTAGAAGTTGGAATTCATGGACCTTGGGATGAGGTGCCAGTGGCTGAATAGTCTTCAACTCTTCCTTGGAACCAGAAGGTCCTGAGTGTGTACTGCTGAATAGTCCCTGGTTTTCACTCCGTCATCAAACTTAAGAGAAATTAATGACTAAATAGTAAGGAGTCAGTGACATTAAACTTACTTGTAGCACCGCCACTATACTGCATGCTAACAGATTGTGTCTTCACACTTAGGTTTCTTTCAAAGATATATGTCGATATGTGCGTCGGTGGCACAACGGTAGAATATTAGCCAACCACGCAGGTGGTTCGGGGTTCGATCCCCGGACGACGCACTCCTTCACCTTACTAGGCCAGTAACAAGACTGGTAAAGGGGGAAGGTTAGGCATGAGGCTAGCAACCCTATGTCGTAACACCAAAAACCACTGCTACCGGACCTTCAAGTCTCTCGCTTGAAGCTGGGAGCGTAAAGGAATTATATATATATATATATATATATATATATGATAAATACAGCACATAGTGAAAGTCTTTTTATTACATTGAAGATAACTTCAATTAAAACTTCAAATTAAAAAGGATTATCCCAATGTGAATATACAGTGTGTATATTTTTTAATATTGTTTTGGAGAGTCATGAGTAATTTATTTTATTATGTGTTATTCATCCTCATCAGGAATTTAAACAGAGATATTAGAATAAAACTTGTGCACTGTGGTAGAGTGTAATTCCATTATGGGTAAATTTTGTTTTGATAAAGTCTCACAGTATTATACAATAATGTTTACTGATGACGTTTCGAGCACAATTTATTCCAGCTCATAATCATATCAAGGTACTCACACTAATTCCTAACTTCATTTATATAGTTCCATTATTTTTCACTTGATTTGATTGGTAGTAGTATTTTCCACATTTCAGGTATGAGTGATGAATCATTCCTATTGCATGTGTTTGGTGTAGACTCAATGAACAAGGATTCAGTAATCAACCTTTCTCTCTCCACCTATCTAGATTACTTTTTAGAATTCTGTTCTGTTTTTAACACTGTGAAAGTGTCATCCACATATCTCCAGTCAATATGGTCTTAGAAGCAGTTGAAAAAGAACTAACTGCGGATCCTGAACTCAATCATAGGACAAAGCTGCCCACTGAACAAATTATTTTAGGGATTCAGTTATGCCTTACATTTACTATCTTTAAATTCCAAGGTAAAATATATAGACAAACTGAAGGCGTAGCAATGGGATCACCAATATCCCCTATTGCAGCAGACATATTTATGGACAGCTGGGAAAATAGTGCCCTCAATACATTTAACCCTACTCCGAAAATATGGTGGAGATATGTGGATGACACTTTCACAGTGTTAAAAACAGAACAGAATTCTAAAAAGTAATCTAGATAGGTGGAGAGAGAAAGGTTGATTACTGAATCCTTGTTCATTGAGTCTACACCAAACACATGCAATAGGAATGATTCATCACTCATACCTGAAATGTGGAAAATACTACTACCAATCAAATCAAGTGAAAAATAATGGAACTATATAAATGAAGTTAGGAATTAGTGTGAGCACCTTGATATGATTATGAGCTGGAATAAATTGTGCTCGAAACGTCATCAGTAAACATTATTGTATAATACTGTGAGACTTTATCAAAACAAAATTTACTCATAATGGAATTTAAACATAGTTGGATTATGAACTCAGCTCACAGCATATTTTAATGCACTCTTATATTGTCTGTACAATGAATACTAGTATGGCTAAGAACTGAAGTTAGGATATGTTAAAGCTGATTTTTAGTTTTTGCGTCTATGCGACATCATGTATACTAGATGGATGTATTTCAAGTAATCTCAGCCTAAGACAACGCCGGTGTCAGGCGGCAATTCGAAAGCGACTTATTCTTCACCTGAGTAAAATCATAGGTTGTAAGCGTTTAGAACAACTGCCTAGCATCCTCAAGCTAATGGTATGGTAGAACGTCTACACAGACAGTGGAAAGCTGGTCTGTAAGCTGCAAACAATGCACATCGGGCTGAATCCCTTCCGTTAGTTCCCCTAGGAATACGAAACGCCTTGGAAACTGATGCTGGTTGTGCTACCGCCGAGCTAGTATATGGCACAACACTACGACTGCCAGGTGAGTTAGTTTCTCCCTCTGGCTTCCCACCAGCGGTAGATCACGCCTCATACGTTAGCAGGCTTTCAAATGCAATGCGTCCAGTTAAACCTGCTCCCCTTCTATCGCAGTCCATAGACGTCTTTGTTCACCCGTGTTTGAAAACTTTTTCACATGCATTTGATCGTTGTGACTCTGTGCGTCGCCATCTGGAACCATATAAAGTTATTAAACGTACGGATTAATTCTTTATCTTAGACAAAAAAGGTCTCGAAGACACCGTCAGCATCGACCGTCTGAGACCGGCCTACTTATAAGGCGATTTCGTTAGCCTAGAGCTGAGCGTTCCCAAGAATTCACAAGTAACAGAATATCCGTTAGTCCTCAAAGAACTCATTAGCAAGGCGAAAGCCACCGAAGCTTATGTCGAGCACTCGAAGAAAACGCATTCTGAACGAAACGTAAGATTCCCAGGATATCCTCACACTTATATCACATAACTAAGTGGTGCGATTCACCTAAATCTTATTCGTCTGTGGTAGTTATTGCTATTTTTTCAGACACGTCAGTTTTTTTATATTGCATCCGGCAACACCAGTAAAAAACGTTTCTATAACCGTACATGTTGCATGCACTAAAAAAATTAGATGTATACTTGTTTTTCAATGTTCTAATTTTCAAATTATTTAACCGTATGGTAGATGCATATCATTTTTCAAACGTTGTTTTTGGGACATTTCCCTCAACAAGGTTCTCAGAATTCTTGTTTTCTCTTCCAGGTGCGACGGGCACTGCCTAAGAAGCAAACAAAGCACGAGATCCAACGGACAAACATCAACGAAGCGATGTACAGACAACCTATTAGCACACATAGACTACCAGTAGGCACTCCACCAAGCCGTTTGGAAGAGATTTTTTACCGATGGGGAACCATAGAGGTTTTTTTTTACTTTCGGCTGGTTCTGTCTTAGGGTCCTTACAACCCCACTAGGGAGGAGGAATGAGCTGTAGCGGTATATAATTCTCCAAAATTATTGACCACAGCATTCATCACTGAACATTGGATGCTGATCCTCACTGTTTAAGCCGAATTGTTTAGCTGGAGGCTTCCGGTTAAGCATTCACGCCATTTGGTACTCTGTCGTTTCATGTTCGGGCACGATCACTAGCCAGCTAAGCAGTCATCTCACACTGCAATTTGGTCCCCATATATATATATATATATATATATATATATATATATCGTAATTTGGACGATCAGATAGTGTCTTTTGCTTTGCATTTGGTCTACGCAGAACGAATATTATAGAAGTTGTTGGTATTAGATCTTGCGTGAGTATACTCCATACAATCCGTGAACTTCAATACCATCAGCCTCTAAAAACTAACTAAAAACGTATGGTCCAACAAATATATCGAAGAAAGTGGAAATAGCCCGAGCTTTCGTTGAGCAGTTCACTGACTGAAATCACATGCCACGTTATCCAAGTGGAACCTAAACTCTCAACGGCGAGTTGGACATTGATACAAGGGTGATACTGAGTAGATCGTGTAAGGAGAAGATGAAGGCTTATGCTCACTTATGGAGAATGCTAACGAGGACTGCAGAAATTTAGTGAAGACCCTCAGCCACAGAATTAGTTAGAGCTATATGCTTAGAAGAAGTAATTGAAGGTGAATTAAGCATTGTATATGATACTTTGATCGAAAATAGCTATCCCGAAAAATTTATCACGAAACACATGACAAAGAAAGCGGAAAAGGACTACTCATCAATATCTGTAAAGAAGAAGCCACCTTATATACGACTACAGTTCAAGGGCGATATACAAAGTGAGATCATTACGAGGAAATTAAGAAAATCAGTTCGAAGAATGTTTAATGATGGCGAACTACACATCTTATTGTCTACACGACCGATGGTGATTCCTAAACTGAAAGATGAAGTACCTAGACTAGCTAGCCACTTCCAATTGTATCTATCAATTCAACTGCTCTCCTGTGGTGGAGCCAGTTATATTGTCCATTGCCCTAGGAACTTGCTTTTTTGTGCTCACTCGAGAACATCTCCCACTGTGGCTAAATAAAAGTGTAGTGAAAACCATTAACAGTTCGATATTGGATCATCTGGTGCAAACCGGCCGGCCACAAAGCCAGTCAGCCAGCCAGTGTGGAAGAATCCTTCTCTAGCATCATCTATAATAATAATCTAATAAATTGCCAAAATCATCGAGTTACTGCATACTGCAAACAGTCGAGGCTATTGCGATTCACATCAAACAACCAGTGCTCTGTGTTCAAAAGAAGCAAGTTCAGCCAGCCCCTACTTCTGCCCTGAGTGGCCTTCAGTAGAGACTATAAATTCATGAATTTGTAATATTATCATTCCTAATTTTTCTGACATTTAGTTTATTGTTAATTTGATGCTATTGAGCTGTAATCTATCAATTATTATTGATTCAATGTTATTTAAACAGCAACATTAATGCTGTGTTCACAACACTAATTCATTCATTCATTCACTATAATGTGTAGATATAACTGTAGAGCCTGATAATGAAGGAGTTATTGACAAAATTATTCTTTGTTCAGTATCCATTCTTTTGAAAATTTTAATAAGCATTTTTAATCAGTTAACGTATTACTTTCACTTTCTCACTTACCTAAACATACGTACAACACTGTCACTTGTAGATCTTGATACATTCAAATTGTCAATAGCAACAATAAAATCACCAGCTTGTATTCCACACTTCATTGCTGGGGAACCAGGTTCAACATGACTAACATAAACAGGACAATTGCCGCATAAAGTGAATCCAAACCCTTTAGAACCTTTTTGAATAATAAACTGCATTAAGTGAAAAAAACAATATGGAAAAAAGACAGGTGAAATTGATGATATTCAGTTGTTCTGTGTTCTGAAACGATTCAAAAATAACACAGTTTCTTACTCATAATCATGATTGCATTAGGGATCATAGTCATAGGTCGTCAGAACATGCTCACTGGTTCTTGCCTTCTTTGAAATTCATGAATTGGATTGCTGAGGTAGTTGAGTGATACTTATGGTTTGAAAAATCAGGGTACCACGAAGAAGTGGAATATATGAAGGCTGAATATGATTTTATTTAGGTTTTTATTTAAAGTTTTCTTTAAATCCTTCATAATAGTGTGTCACTATTGCGACGTTATCTACTCAAGTTTATTACCACTGTTTAAGTCAAATAATTTTTATACATGTCAACCTGAGACCGAGCACTTCGGTCCAATCAATCGACGGGAAAATCAAAAAATTCAATTCAATAAATAATTTTTGCTTAAATACACGTATTGTGATGGACTGGATTATGCATCAGACAGTGGGAAACGAGCAGACAAGGATATCCTTGACCGACGTGAAGATCCTAGACGACCTGGATTGCGCGCGTGGATGATTTATGCTTGATGTCACACAAAATCGAAGACTTACAAGCGAAAACAGACCGACAAACTGGTCGAAGAAGCAGCCAGCGAAGACTGGACTCCAGGTGAACATAGACAAGACGGAGGTTATGAAAATAACCAGCCAACAACAACAACAACGACAACGGCAGCAACATCCACCGCCAATCACCATCAACGGGAGGGATTTCAAAGAGGTCACTTCATTCACTCACTGATCTAGGGAGCATTGTCTCAACTACAGGAAGTCGAAACAAACGAGGATGTCAAATCGAGCGAGAATCGGGTGGGGGGCGAGAAACACATTCACTCATCAACCTGAAATCAATCTGGAAATCGTCGTCACTCAACTCAGAATCAACAACAAAATTCGGTCGGATTTTCAATACAAACAGCGTCAAGTCAGTCAGTTCTTCTATACGAATCAGAAACTTGGCTCTTGGCAGGCCACAAAGAATATTTCCAACAGCCAGCCTGTTGCAGACCTTAATCAACAACTGTCTTCGCTGGCTCTATACTGAAGATGAATCAGATGGCCGTACCGGAAAGAATCACCAAGAAGAAACCATGGCTGGGAACATACAAAACAAGAAGCAATCGCCAACCAACAAATATTATGCGCGAGAAAGTGGAGCTGGATTGGACACTCGCGGCTGAGGAGGCCGCCGCCGGGTGACATCGCGCGCGTCAGGCCATTGCTGGAGTGGAACGAGGCCGAAAGGGAAGCGGCGAGTGAGACGTCAGTGCAAGGGTGACATGGAGGAGATCGTGTGAAGAGGAAACAGTATGAAACAGTATGGACTAACATGGATGCAGGTGAAAAGTAGAGCAGAAGATAGAAGTGGCAGGTGGAGACGTGGAGTTGAAGCCCTATGTTCCACTAGGAACCCAAGGGAACAATTATAATAATACACGAATTTTCAACACTACCCGTGACTACTTTAGACGGGTGCAATCAATGAAGTTAGGCTGAACGCGTTATTCAAATCAGAATTGCAGCTTGACAGCTCTGAAAAAATGGATCTGATCTACAGTGGATGACAAAACATTTAAAACAATTAGTCCCTTTTATAAATTTTGATAGCGTTATTAGAAGACGGAGACTGTCTGAAAAATGTGATGTATTAGCGCTATACATTTCGACCAATCTGATCACACATTTACTTGTCAAGTCAATATATATAGAAAGGTTAAATTAAACAAAGTGAGAGAAAACGGAATTAAGAATAATTAACACAAACGTTTGGTAATCCAATAAAATAAGGATTACCAAGGTAGGTTAAGAGTAATGACAAACTGTTTTTGAATACACAAGGGGGGCTTAAGTCTATGAATAGCTATAGCCTCTGCGTATTTCAATAAACGCCCTTGACCGTTTTTATAGATGACCTTAAAGGCTGAGTTAACATCAATCTTATGGTTCATCTCGATTGATGTTAACTCAGCCTTTAAGGTCATCTATAAAAACGGTCAAGGGCGTTTATTGAAATACGCAGAGGCTATAGCTATTCATAGACTTAAGCCCCCCTTGTGTATTCAAAAACAGTTTGTCATTACTCTTAACCTACCTTGGTAATCCTTATTTTATTGGATTACCAAACGTTTGTGTTAATTATTCTTAATTCCGTTTTCTCTCACTTTGTTTAATTTAACCTTTCTATATATATTGACTTGACAAGTAAATGTGTGATCAGATTGTTCGAAATGTATAGCGCTAATACATCACATTTTTCAGACAGTCTCCGTCTTCTTATAACGCTATCAAAAAAAAAAGATGACAAAACAGACAACATCGCAAATTAACGCATAGTATGGTCATAAAAAGGATATGAGTGTGGGATTATACGATCGTATCTGAGTATGGTATTTTTTAAACTGAATGATCACGTCATTATAATAAAGGGTTTTGTATTTGCCAATGAATGAAAAGCAAAACGATATTGTTTTTACTGATGTTTCGCTATTGAATACTAATAGCTTTATCAAAGTATTATTAAACCGGAATTTACATAATGGATTCTAAACTGCTTGAATAGGAATGATGGACTAAAACAGAATCTGACCTGGTTACAACACCTCCCTCCCCTATGATGTGACAAAATCAACACAAATGTGATAAGCAAGTTCACTACGTAAACACACACTACTTTTATAATTTTACACACACTGATCAAATCCAACAATCTACACTTAATTTCGTTATCTTTACCAAATGACCAACTTGACAACGAAAAATGACCCCATACCGACGAACGATGATCAAGTTAGTAAACTTTATTTTGATATCATAACAGACGTACTATTATCTTTGATATTTGGTTTAGTGATCTTCATTGTTATTTCGACTTTCAGTATGTCCTTTTAACTTGACCTAACTTGTCTATTTTCTCACCTCTTAACTCTTTGTTATATATATGCTGAGTAGATTTTGTGAATTCCGGTTTAATAATAATACTTTGATAAAGATATTAGCATTCAATAACGAAACGTCAGTAAAAACAGCGATATCGTTTTGTTTTTCATTCATTGGGAAATACAAAAACCTTTATTCTAATGAATATCATATACCCAATGGCCAAATATTTTCAAACTGTTAAAAGTGAACTTGCTTTGGACATATATGAATGATCACTTCACTAAAGGTTGTATTATGGTAGGTAGTGGACCAGTGGATTCCACCCTAGTTGTACAAGTTCATTTTGTAACCTTGGTTGCATCCCAGGTGGGTCGATCTCTGTATCTAGCTGAAAAGCCCTGAAAAAGGATAGAGACACTGCCCAGGACTTTCATGTCTTCACCTGTTCTCTAACGGAAGTCGGTTTAAGAACAGTTTTAGTGATATTTCTACTCAAGACATTTTGGAATCACTGAATTTAGAAACTTTGCACTCTGTTCTTCAACTATTGTAAGCAATTGAGTTTCAAGATGAGATTCAATGCAAACGGGAAATCACTGCAAACCAGGCATTCCTGGGAATTTGGTTCATCCTCATAAATATGTATAACTCAGACACTGTTATATTATGTAATTCCATAATGATTTGTCAACTGAATATGTCACATAGTATTATTTACAGGATGATGACATTCCGAACACAACCAAGGACCAAAATGGATACATTCAGGTATGTTGACAGAAATCGTATTATTTAGACAATAGACTGACTTTCAACCACTCACTTCTGGCAATTTGTAACATATAATGTAACAGATAATCTGCCATTATTATTATTATTATTGTATCCTTTAGTTCCTAGAGGAACATAGGGCTTCAGCTGCGCACCTCCATTGCCTTCGGTTTTCTGACAACTTTTTCACCCTGCTCCAGGTCTGTCCGCATGCTTTCATCTCCTCCTCGCATGATCTCCTCCAAGTCACCCTTGGACGACCAACTCGCCGCCTCCCTTTCGGGTTACACTCGGGGGCTTGTCTAGTGATGTCACTTGATGGTTTCCTCAGCGTATGGCCAATCCATCTCCATTTCTTTCTGCCTATTTGTTTCACAATCGGTTCCTGGTTGGTTCGCTTATTGCCAGAGATCCCTGTTGCTGATCGTTTCTGGCCATCTGATCTTGAGTATTGAGCGGAGACAGCTGTTAATGAAGGTTTGAAGTTTGTTTGAGATGCTCTTTATGACTCGCCAAGTCTCTGATCCGTATAGTAGCACTGACTTCACATTGGAGTTGAAAATCCGGATCTTATTTTTGATGCTGATTGCTGTTGACCTCCACACAGATTTGAGAGTAATGAAAGCCATTAATGAATACAATTTCTAGGCAGCTGTTCCGATTTGTTTGGCCGTAGACACAGCAGATTCTCATTAATGTGTGGAAAACTCCATTTCTAAGTTGATTAAAGTTGATCAGCGGAATGAAATCCCCTCAGTAGGTTCATGATAATTACAATAATATTTTTACTTCTAAAATCAATTTTTTACTATAAATTCATATTTTTCCGCATTTTGGAAAGCCAGTTTAATGTAGATCACCTGAAGGTTCCCATGGATTAAATAGTTATTGACCTGCGTTGAATTTATGAAGTACATCTAATGTTGAATTTTATGCTATCACGGAGTGTTATTCGGTCATGGTTTCTTCTAACTTGACTGAAATACGCCGCCAAAAAATGATGCCGTAACTAATTGGTCACTCAAAAATATCTCAAAACACTTCATCAAACAGAATACAGGGTTTTTGATGCGGTTGTGTTCTCTGAGCTGGATAGTTAATTCGCGAAGCTTTCATCGCCCTACTAAGCGACATCTTCCTTCAGCGCATACTTCAATTTGTTGAAGTGAGTTTGCAGATTTCTCCACGAGTTTATTAATCATCTCTCCTGGTGGGTGACCTGGGATGTCATTGGTTGTCTTTGTGTGTTTTCACACCTTCTAGGTTACTTGTATTGGAAC